CCCATCACCTACCCTTCCCTCCCTCCCACCCCCCCATCAACCCTCAGTTCTCAGTTTTTAAGAGTCTCTTATGCTTTGGCTCTCTCCCACTCTAACCTCATTTTTTTTCCCTTCCCCTCCCCCATGGGTTTCTGTTAAGTTTCTCAGGATCCACATAAGAGTGAAAACATATGGTATCTGTCTTTCTCTGTATGGTTTATTTCACTTAGCATAACACTCTGTAGTTCCATCCATGTTGCTACAAAGGGCCATATTTCATTCTTTCTCATTGCCACGTAGTACTCCATTGTGTATATAAACCACAATTTCTTTATCCATTCATCAGTTGATGGACATTTAGGCTTTTCCCACAATTTGGCTATTGTTGAGAGTGCTGCTATAAACATTGGGGTACAAGTGCCTTAGGGAAATATTTTAGAGCTGTAGTTGGAAATTTATTATGAGATGGTGGAAATAATATGTGGAGTTGGGAATTACCAGGATTGAGATATTGGGAACAGATGAATTTTTAGAGAGAAGGCAGAGGGGGAGGAGAGAAGGAGGGAGAAGAGAAGGAAGAAAGGAAAGAGAAGTGGGCAGGGGACTGGGAAAAATTGTCAAGGTTGAGGTATTTTAATTGGATAAGAAGGAGGGAGAGGGGAAATCATCTGGAAAAAAAACTTACTTGATAAATAGACCAATATATTTAGTAGTTAAGAGGAGTGCATGGATGACCCAGTAATTTAGTAAAAGTGGTTAGGAGAGGTCAAATTCCAAAAAGTTAACAAATGAGGGGACGGTGAAGAAGTAGTAAGGTATGGCCCACTCTTGGGAAAGAGAAAGAGTAATTTGATGGGGGAAGAATAATGTATCAGTTGTTATGGGCTGAATGTTTGTCATCCCCAAATTGAGATATTGAAGCCCTAACTCCCAATGTGATGGCATTAGGAAGGGTTCTTTGGGAGGCAGTTAGATACCAGGTGGTTCACGTACGGAAATCAGGACCCAAGGGAGGCTAGACATCTAGAACCATACCCAGAACCACAGCCAAGATAATGTCAAGGGACAGTCTGTCAAGGTCATTGCTTTTTGCTTCTTGAGACACTGGAGGTTATATACAGCTTTGCCTCTTAGACTGGCATTGCTGCTCTTAGAGATTGGATATTGTTATTACCATAGCACCAGGGACTATACTTTCCATGGGTGTCCATTACAGAAAGTTGAAGGAAAGCTTTATAAAAAAATTGACATATAGTTGACAGTGTTCTGTTAGTTTCAGGCGTACAACATAGTGATTCGACAGTTCTATACATTAGGCTGTGCTTACCACCGTAAGTATAGTTACCATCTGTCACCATGCAATGTTATTATAATATTACTGGCTTTTTTGTTCCCTGTGCTATACTTATCATCCTCATGACTTATTTTATAACTGGAAGTTTATACCTCTTAACCCCTTCACCAGTTTTGCTCTTCCCTCCAACCCCCTAATGTTTGGCAACCACCACTTTGTTTTCTGTATTCATGATTCTATTTCTGTTAGTTCGTTTGTTCTGTTTTTTAGATTTCACATATAAGTGAAATCATATGGTAATTTGTCTTTGATTTGAGTGAAAGGTGAACACAGCATTAGACGATGTGAGGTATGAGCTTGTTTGAACAAGGCTGGAGATACTGATTGATGAAATATTAAAACCTTTTATTGACATACTTTTACAGAAAAGTATTAATGGTAAGTGTGCAGTTGGGTGAACTGTTACAAAATTAGCAACTCTGTGAAACCATCACCCTGGTCAAGAAATAAATTTACTGGCACTCTAGAAGCTCCCTCACACTCTTTCCAGTCACACATCTGTCTCCCTGAGCAATAACCACAATTCTGACTTTTAACTCCATAAATTTGTTTTCTTTTTTTAACTTCATATAATATTTTTTTGCTGATGTTGTGAAATTCATGTTGTTGCGTGTAACATTTTTTTTAACACTACTGTGCAGTATTCTGTCCTGTCACCATCCATAATTTATCAGTTTTAATGTTGGACAGAAATTTGGGATGTTTTCAGTTTGAGGCTTTTATGAATGGTACTACCATGAACATCATTTTATTTCTCTTTTGGTGGTAGAATTGCTGGTTCATTTTATGCATGTTTTTGTTGAATAAGTTTACTAAACAGTAACAATTTATACTTCCAATCAGTAGCTTGTAAGACTCATTTGCTCCACGTCTTCACCAGCCCTTTGTAATGTCAGTACTTTTTCTTAACCATTCTGAGCAGTATGCAGTGGTATAACATTGTGATTGTAGTTTGTATTTCCTTGATGGTTGGGATCTAAGGATTTGCACCATTTTGAATATCTTGTGAAATGCCCGTTGGTTTTTATCCCATTTTATTCAGTTGTATTGTCTTTTGTCTTTTTACGGATCTGTTGGATTTGTTAATGTATGCTACGTATGAACCCTAATATGTATTACAAATATCTTCTCCTACTTTGGTCTTTTCACTCTATTGATGGTGTCTATAGATGAACAGAAGTTCTTTAATAATTATCCAGGTAGTCAAAACCAATCTTTGTCTTTATAATTAATTCTTTGCCTTATTTACAATATCTTTCTCTAGTGCATTATCATGAAAACATTTTCCCTAGGAGTTTTATCATTTTGCCTTTACTGTGATTCATCTAGAATTTGTTTTTTGTGATTATTAGGTAGGATCCATATTTTTTCTTCATTTACTATCCAGTTGACCATCACCGTTTTTGGAAAGAACCTATTGTGCAGTGCTGCCTTTATAATAAATCAAGCAGCTGTCCATGCCTGGGTTTATTTTGGGGCTCTCTTCTTCACTCCATTTGTCCACTTTGCTATCTTGGCACAAATGTCATAATATCTTGGGACGCCTGGGTGGCTCAGTGGGTTAAGCGGCCGACTTGGGCTCAGGTCATGATCTCGCGGTCCGTGAGTTCGAGCCCTGCGTCGGGCTCTGTGCTGACAGCTCAGAGCCTGA